AAGTTTAAAAAAATTACAAATTAAAAAAATACAATCAATTTATTGTATATATTAAACTGTGAACTGCTTAAACGCTTAACCTCTCCTGGAACAGTATAGCTGCTATGTCAGTAAGCTTTAACTACTTACCTATCTAGCAAGACCATGCAAATTTAGTACTGCTGTTTATGAGCTTGGTTTCTGAGTAGGATCATAACATCCTGTCTGTGTAGCAGCAAGATCCATGAATTACAGCAGGATACGCCAGACAGTCAGCAGGGGTAGCTTGGAGAAGCACAGTTGGCAATGCCTGAGTAAACACCTCACTCTGTGACCATGCTTCTGGGCTCCTGACCAGATTACAGTTCCTGCAAGTTCCTGTTCCTTGCTCTGACTTTTCACCCGTCTTTGACCTTGAGCTCTCTACTGAGAACCTAGGTGAAGATTGGGTACCTATCCTAGGTTTTGCCAAATGTTAGCTGTCATTGCGGCTGCTTGCTGAAGTGTCTATATTTACATTTAATTATGGACACACTCATGGTATGTTAGAGAATCTCAAAGCAGATTAGGGAAAGATCACAGGGTGTTTTCAAGGAGAGATTTCTGTTGTCCTACACAGTGCCTGAAAATTCCTATATTTACCATTAATGTGTGCTGCGGACACGTTCAGTAGAAAGGGATAGATCACACAGTGATTGCATTGGGAGCTTCTGCCATTCTATATAATGTGGCTGAAAAGTTCTATATTTACAGTCAGTGTGTATTGGGACACGTGGAGTAGATAGGGAAAGGTCACAGAGAGTTTTCAAGTATAGCTGCCTTTTTTGTGTGTGTCCACAACACCTTTCTTTTCTGTAAAGCTGCAGGACCTCTCCCCTTGCTATATTATTTTACATTGTTGTAATATTGATTTGTTTATTAAAAGATTGCTGGTGTGGGTCCTGTTCAAAATGATGCCTAGTTAAAGTGTTTACAAATTGTGCACATAGTCACTAAAATATTTTGGTGGCACTTTTCAGCAAAAAACCCCAAAAAACACTTGATTATAAAATGGCTGGTGTAGATCTTGTTTAA